TAAGAATAAGAAGCACTTCATCCGGTACTTAGTGTCTTTCATTCCAACATAAGACATCATTTCTGGAATCTGCATCTGAAATAGCATTTAGATGTATTTACATATCTCAGAGGGGACATGGATGCGTTTAAACTGCAGTTAAAGATGCATAAATAGGCCTAATGTTTTGTTTTTAACATAAAACGTTAAATACTGATATTTGAAATAATTTAAAACATGAAACAAATAGTTGAAATGTGAAATTAAAACCGCCAGTAGATTAAGTTAACTATATTAAATTGTATAGTATACATATAAAGAGCATACAGAAGCATTTTTGCCATCCATAATTTAGAATGCCTGGAATTTTAAGTTTTAATAGACTAATAAATCAATGTGCGTACACTCTGTGTGTGATTTGGTGATATAGCCTACTTGATAATGTCAGATCGCACATCATTACAACAACACTTACCATATTATCGCAGAAGATATACTGTATATTGCACACCCCAGCCTCGACTTTAGTGGAAAATGAATCATCCGCGGTTGTGCGCGCACTTGTTTGCACGTAAGCAATGGTGTTTTTAACTTGCAAGCGCCAGACCACTGATTCGTCAAACCTGCTTTCCTGCAGTTTGTGTTCTCCTGACTTCTGACTATTTTGTAGTAAGTAACGAATATGCTTCGGGGAAATGTATCGGAGTAAAAGTATACATTTTAATTAGGAAATGTAGTGGAGTAAAAGTAAAAGTTGCCTGAAATATAAAAACTCAAGTAAAGTACAGATACTCCCAAAAAATACTTAAGTACTGTAACGAAGTATTATTACTTTGTTACATTACACCACTGGTAATCGCTGTGTTGTGTAAACTGTGTGGTAAAAACTGGCAGCTGTGGTTGCTAGAAGAAGTCTGTCTTAAAACAATATTTTGGCAATGTTTTGAGCATTATGGGAAGACATTTTGGTGCCTGTATATTTTATAGTTCATTTAACATCTTAAACGAACTACTTAAATTTACTACTTTTAATGTACTGACTATACTGATACATCATTATATTATAAGATGTAAGATAGATGGTCAGGCTGATTTAAAGTTTATCAAATTTGTGCTTTCCATAAACAATGTGAACTGACATAGCTATTCATTAACCAATGTTCCCCACACAGAGGCAAAACATCACATTACTAATTGAACACATAATATGTGACAAAATACCCTAATTTGCATCATTTCAAAAATAAAAACGAACTATATTTATGTAATTTTTGATGTCTTGTTAAATATATTCCAAAATTATATATGAATGTAGTTTCACCATAAATTCTATGGAATTTAACTGCCAAAAACCATATGTACATTCATTTTTTTAAATCTATTTATTTAAATAATATATATATATATATATATATATGTATATATATATATATATATATATATATATGTGTGTGTGTGT